TCGTAGCTGAGCTCCACGCAGTTCAACAAGGGGCCTCTGCAGGCTCTCGGCTGAGGCCAAGAACTGGCTTCTGTCCCAACAGCATCCTAGCAGGAGGCAGCATTCTGCAGCTGGATTGAGGGACTCACGAGCCTCTCCATCAATCCTGACTTCCAGAAGGGTCTGAAGGACAGAATCATCTTGTGCACGTTCACCAATAAACTGCAGCTGGGCTCGGTACCCAAGATCAACGGCCCCATGCAAAGCTGGCACCAGCTAGAAACCCTCTCCAACTTCACGGAGGCCATGGTCATCTATAGCATGAACTCTGTGGGCTTGTTCAAGGCCAATGACCTGTTACAGCGGGAACATGACACGGTGCAGCCGTGTCTTCTGGCTCTGGTAGGGAAGGCCAAGACAGAGGGGCTGCGGAGCGATGCGAACGTCGGCATCAGGTGCTCTGAGAAACAGGTGCAGGACCTCCATGACGCCATCGTGAGGACAGGCCAATGTGTCATCAGGCTCCAGGTGGGCACCAACAAGTGTGCCAGCCCATCAGGCATAATGACGGACGGAAAGACAACCCCAAGAACCATATCCTGCCACCCACGGACTACTCAACCATCCGCTTGCAATTGGGCACCAACACGTGTGCCGGCCAACTGGGCACGAGGGATCCCAGGACCTGGCCGCATATCTGAGATACCAAGCTGGGGACCGACAAGTGCGGCAACTCCTCCGTGCAGATGGGCTACACACAGGGCACCAGTCAAAGAGGCCAGATCTCTGGCCTGGGCCAGCAGTTATGACCCCAAGTACTGCCCACAAAGCCCAGTGGGCCATGGACCTCCAGAGTCAGCCGGCGACTACTCAAGCTCAAGGACGGCCCTGAAGCAAGCAGGCTACTGAGGCTCCCCTTGCAGGCAACTCTGCAAGTCATCACCCCATCTGGGATTTGGGGTTGTCCTGTGTTTTCATCTTGTTTTTCCATGTGTTCACATGCCTCCAGCAGAGGGTCTGTGAAGCCAGACTCACGTGCATGTGGGGTGGAAGTCCCCGCCAGGGCACAGCCAGGTAGCAAATTTCCCAGCAGGCTTTGGGCCACGCTGTTGGGGGGAAGAAATTTTCTTCCCTTGCTTCTGCCCTTCTTTCCTTTTCTCTGCTGATCAGTTTGTGATTTCTGTACCCACAGAAGTTGCCGTCGGTTTTAACAGAACAAAGGCAATTGTTGGGGCACTGGTGAGTAGGAGCCAGCATGCCTGTTACCTACCGCTGCGTAACAACAACCTACCGCAAGACTCAGTGACTTCCACTAACGACCATTCTTTATTACACATGTACCTGCAGGTCAGGAGTGTGGGGTGAGGTCAGGTGGGTAATTCTTCTGTTCCACGTGGCGTGACTGGAGTCACATAAGCACTTGGAGCTGCTCTGGCTTGCAGAGCCCAGCCTGTCTTCACTGCTGTGTTTGGTCTGTGGGTCGGAGCGGCAGAAAGGCGGTGGCATCGGGACAGGTGAGTGAGTGCAGGGACTGTATGCGGACTCTCTAGTGGGATGGTCCCAGGGCAGTTGGACTTCCTGCATTGAGACTCAGCGTTCCCAGAGAGAGTGTTCAAGAGACCCTGTGGAAGCTGCAAGGCTTCTTTTTAATTTATTTTTAGAGAGGGGGGAAAGGAGTGAGAAAGAGAGGGAGAGAAACATCAATGTATGAGAAACATTGATCGGTTGCCTCTTGCACATGCCCCAGCCAGGCACCTGGCCCACAACCCGGGCATGTACCCTGACCTGGAATTGAACCGACGACCTTTTGACTTCTGGGACGATGCCCAGGCAACTGAGCTACACCAGTCAGAGCACTACAAGGTTTTCTTATGGCCTAGATTCAAAGTTCAGGAATGTCACGTTCAGCACGTTCTCTCAGGGAAACAAGTCACTCAGTCCAGCCCAGGTACGCAAGAGGGAGAATTAAGAGTCCCTCTCACGATGGGAGGAAGAGCAAAGAACATGTGTCACCTTCAGCGATGAGCAAGTCATCCAAGTTGGCTGGTGTTTGAAGAACGTGCCGGGCAGTGATGAACCTGACACGGGAGAGGAACTTGAATGTCAAGGCAGGGGCTGGGCCGACAGTAAGGAGGTAGACAGTGAAGGTCCTGAAACCACAAAAGCTGGTGCCTGTGCAGCCTGTCACTGCCAAAACCAATAAGTAGAGACAAGGAGTGAAACTTTATGGGCACTTTATTCAGATGGCCGGCGATCTGAGAAGAAGGCGCATTACGTACCCTCAAAAACTGTCTTAACAGCCCATCTCAGGCTTCCCTTTTTATAAAAAGAAAGGGCTGGTGAGGGGTTTAGGAAAAGGTTAATTGACTAGAAGGTAGGTAAGGGGTTTGGAGAAAAGTTTCATTGGGTAGGAGCTGCAGTCAGTAGGGTTTTCCTAGAACTTCTTCATCTGCATCCGGGGCTTTTCCTCGCTGGAGCACATGGCTCTGATACCCTCTCGGGGCACAACAGTTGAATGGCTTCTTGACCTCTGGAGTCACAGGTCACATGTTCCATTTCCTAGCATAACAGCTTCCACATGCATTAATCACTTAAGCCTATGAACTATAACTGAAGCTAGAAACTTGAACTCTTGAGTTTCCCTGTCACTGCCACATGCAATGCAAATCAGGTTCAGCTGATCTTTATTCCCCACCCCCCCAAACATAGCTTGAATCCGATCTTCCCCATCTCCCGGCACCGTCACCAGCACCTCCACCAGGCCGTTGCAGTTGCCCCCTTCCCGGTCTCCAGACTTGCTCCGGCCCCTCTGCAATGCCTTCCTCTCACTGCAGCTGAGACTCATCAGTGAGCCAGGAGAAGCGGAATACTGAAACCGAGACAGCTAGTTAAATGGCCAAGCAGTTTCCAGCCACCGAGTAAATCACAAAAGCCTGTCCTAACCTAGGACACTTGAGAGTAAATGGTTTACACTTCTCCCCAGCCAGAGGGTAATGGCTTAAGTCACCCTAGTCAGCGAGATAGATAACAGAAATCCAATCAGCGCCCTTTGTGCCAGCCACAGCCAAGGATGGGTGAAGTCAAGGGGATCAATCTCATTTTGGTGCATCAGCATGGAACTGATGAATATACTATTGAGGTCCTCCATAAGACCTTCCCTAAAATTCCCCCCTTTAGAAAACAGGTAAAAACCCCCAACACAGAGACCCAGCTGGCCGTCTCTGGGGCACGCCCATCTCAGGCGTGCATCTTTCCTTCTCTCTCCTAAACTCTAAGGGTCCCCAGGAGACTTGCAACCAGGGGAGCACTGGGCAGCAGCAGCTCGTCCCAGGCTCACCCCCTGAACCTGCCCCCGATGCCCCCCTTTTCTCTGACTTCCCAGTGAGCTAACGGTAGCCCCGCCACGGCTCACTGCCGTCCCTGTGATCATTACTTCTCAGTGAGTCCACCCAGCCCAGTGTGGCCCACTTCTTTCCTGTAACGTTTCCAGAATCCAGAGCAGAGCCCCGCCTGGGCTCTCTCCTGCTGCTTCTCCTACCCTAAGGCCTTTCTGTGTTTCACCGTCCCCAGCTTTAACAAACGTACTCTCAAAAGTCATCTCGGCTCGTGTTGTGGAAGTTTTCCCACATGAAGTCAAGATCCCACGCGCTACCTACCTGCTTGGGGGCAGATCCGCTCTGTCCTGGTCCCTTTCTGGTGACACAGCACCCCCGGGCTTAACCTGCAGCATGGGCATGAGACCATCAGGCATCTTGTTAGAAGACAGATTCCAGTTGAGTAGGTCTGGGCTGGGGCCCGAGAGTCAGCAGTTATAATCAGCTCCCGGGTACCATCGATGCTAATGATTCCCGGAACAAAATTTGATAACGTATTCCCCCAAACAACACTTGATTCTGCCTTGCTTCCACTTAAAACCGTCTCCTGACTCTCCAGCGCTCTTGGGGAGAGACCTCACTGTATCCCACAGGTTCTCTGTGGCCCCGGTTCTCACCTGATGTTCTAGCCCCTTGCCCTCCACTCCCCTGTCCTCTCTTTTCTCCTTATTATTAACAATTTATTTATAACCTAATGAAATGAAACAGAACCACCGCCCCACGGAGCATCGGAACATCACCAATAACCTGAATGTGCCCCGTATGCTCCTCCCCTCTCCTGACTTGGGATAGCCATTCTCAAGTTTCTGCTTAACTCTCCCTTGATTTAAAACATTTTCTACCAAATGCATGTGTCTAAACATGTACATTTTTGGTTTTGTTTTTATTATGCATTCCAAAAGTTGCACCATAGCGTATGTAGGTTTCTGCGACTTTTTCAGCGGACATTGTCTCTGAGATAGATGCGTTCCTGTTTGCTGCTGAAGTTCATTCAATTTCACAGCTGTGTACTATTCCACGGTGTGAATATTCCACAGTGTATTTGCCCACTCTCCTGTGGACAGGCATCTGGGGTGTTTCCAATGTTTTTGTTACTACCAACAGCCCAGGTGTGAATGAACATTCTCTGGCTTGCCTTTTTCCACTCCAACTCCCTTCACCAGGCAAACCACTGCAGGTCCTTCGGACAAGCCTTCCCCAACCTGCCGGCCACGTCTGGTCCCCATTAAAGCTCCCTAGTTATACATTTATGTTATGCGATTGTGTGATGAGCGACAGTGAAGCCCACAAGGTCTGAGATGCTCGTGGGTTCCCAGATGCCAGCTGGGGCCTGCCACACTGTAAATGCCCAGACAGCTGGCCTCCGAGGGGCCAGCAGGAAGCAGAACCGGGCGGCAGCTGGAGCCTGAGCCCACAGGTGACTGCAACCCCAATCCCTGGGGCCAATTTTTGGGTGGGCCAAGGCGCGGAGGTGACTTGTGTTTGTCCCCGCGGCGGGGAAGGAATTCCAGGAAAAGTGCCGCTGGGACCGCGGGGCGGGGCGGGGCCTGAAGCGGACAAGGGGCGGGGCCTAAAGCGGAGCGGGAGCGGAGGCGGGGCGGGGCAGGGGCGGGCAGGGGGCGGGGCCGGCCCGGGCCCCGTTAAGAAGGGAGTGGTGGGCCACAGTTACGACGGGGCCCGGGAGAAACCGACCGGCGTCCTACTCAGCCCGAGACCACCTGCACTCAGCGAAGGGAGAAGCGCCGGGGCACACGCTTGGCACCATGGCCCAGACGCCCGCCTTCAACAAGCCCAAAGTGAGCGCGGGCCGGGGCCCGGGCCGGGACTCGTGGTCGGGGTTCTGGCTTCTTGTCTGGCTGGAGGGCTTTAGGGGCTTCCACGCTGCGGGAGCGCACGGACGCCCCTGCATGCGCTTCCTCCCGCAGCTCAGGCCCTCGCCCGCCTTCTGGCTGTTTAGTGAGAGACAATGAGGAAGGGAGGGTCTTGAATTCGGAGGCACCTCTAGCTGCCTTCAGAGTTCTGCTTCCAGCGCTGACTTGGCCCTTCTCGGTCTCAGTTTCACTGCCTGTCAAATGGGCTTCCTAGCCTGGGGCCCCTTGTCTATACCCGGAGGTATCTGGCGTTGTGTGTAGTGAGTACTGAGTGCTCTGTGAATTTTACTGTAGCATTGTGATAGTTTTGTCCGTGCCAAGGAGCCCGTTGTGGGTGTACGGGCGGGAAGAACTGTGAGCCATGCCAGAGATAGGGGCAGAGGGTCTGGGTGGGCCTTAGGCCTTGCACTCTTCTGGTAAGATTCACTTGGCCACTGGTCCCAAAGGATAACTCTCTTGTCCCTCCTCCCGCCAGCTGTGGTGTCTTGGGAATGGTGGGGTCAGGCAGAGTGCAGGCCCACCCGTGGGGCTTCAGAGGACTGGGATTCATCCAGGGAGGGGAGGCATGGGAAAGTCTGCCCAGCAGAGAGGACCAGCTAGTGGGATTTGAGACTGCTAAGGGGTCAGGGGCAGGCATGAGTTTCAGTCTGCCTTAACTTACCCACCTGAGAAATAGGTGCAAGCGATGAGGGCAGATGTCTCGAAAGTGTTGGAAGAATCCTGTGTCTGTATGCAGAGGAGAGGAGCACAAAGGGGTGGGGGGGGGGTTTCTGAGGAGGTAAGTCCTAGTCCCCCACCCACCGATGATGCCCCACCACAGGGCAAATGCTCAGCTCCTTCCTGCCAGGTGTTCCAAGTTCTGGGGGAGCACTTTTGCCCCCCATCCCCAAAGCCTCCTTTACACCTTGTCAAATGCAGGTGCCCATCAGTAGTGGTTCCTTCCTTTGAAGGTTTTTTTTTTTTAACTGTTTGGGACCCCTTCTGCCCTTGGGCTGGGGAACCACCTTACCTGCTAGGAACACCAAGGCAATAGACACACCCCCTTGACCAGGAGTGAAATGGAAGTTCCAGAGGTAAATGAAAGGTGGCACTTCTATAGGATTTTTGCTATATGCACCGGTTTGATCCTTGTAACACTTTTGTAACAGCCCAGTGGGAGAGAGACTGTTATCCCTAATGTTTGGCCTCGCCCAATCCTTTCCTGTGATTGAAATGGGCGGGTCGTTTCCTCTCTCTGGGCCTCAGTTTCTGCGTGTGGGAAATGGGCCCCCCCTGCTTGTAGTGGTATCCAGAGGTCACCCACTGTGTACTAGATTTTACATCCTCAGGAATAGGGAACATACCCAAGCTGGCTCAGCCCCTGCGACCAGAGCCAGCTCCCTGCCTTCCCGTGGGTGGGGCAGATAATGAACTACTAGTACGAGCGTCCGGCGTTCATGGAGTTGCATTATAGTGCTGTGCCAGGCACCATTCTGGCATGTTACCTGGATTAATCCATTTCATTCTGACAGTGATGGTGTGAGGTGGCTGGTGTCCACCTGTCTTATAGACAAAGAGACAGAAGCACAGAGATGAACTGGATTAGGAAAATCAGAGTAGTTTAACTAGGGTTTGAGCCCAGTGTGGCTGGCTTCACAACCCTGTGGCCCTAACCAACTTTCCGGAACTGTCTCTGCAGAAGCCTTTGAGGGTAGGGGTACCGGAACCCCGGGTGCAGGCCTCTCTGGCATCTCATACCTACCTCTAGGTGAGGCCCAGGACCTGGCCTGCTGTAAGAAGCCAGAGCAGAGCTTTCCAAACTTTAAGGTGTACTCAACAATCACTTGACTTTGTTAACATTCGGGCTCTGAATCAGGTCTAGTGTGGGTGCTGAGATGCTGCACTTCTGACAAGCTCCCAGGTGGTGCTAATTTGGCTGGAGGAGGGACCACACTGTTGGTAGCAAGACCCCCGGCAGCTGCCTAGTGGTTTGATTATGGCATTCCGACAGATGCTTCCTGAGCACCTGCTGGGCCCTGGAGGAGGCGCAGCGTGTGTGGAGGGGTGGCCCTTACGTATCGCCGCAGGAGGCAAGCCTGGAAAATGGCATGGCACTCAGGGCAAGCTCTGTGTCGGGTGGGGTCGGGGGGCACTGCTGATCCCCTGCCTGGGATTTTAATAATAATAACGGCTGTCATCTGAATGTTTATGGGTATTCAGCACCTTCTGTGATTTACCTCACAGAATCCCCTGAGCAAGGACTTGGCAGGGTAGATTTCCTCTTCCTCTTCCTCCTCCTTTTCCGTCTCCTCTTCCTCTTCCGCCTCCTCTTCCTTCTTCTCTTCCTCTTCCTCCTCCTCTTCCTCCTTCTTTTCCTTCTCTTCCTCTTCCTCCTCCTCTTCCTCCTCCTCTTCCTCCTCCTCCTTCTTCGCTTCCTCTTCCTCCTCTTCTTCTTGCTGCTTAACATGGTGTTTATTTGTGAGAATTCAGGGGAACAACAGCCAAAGAGGAAAGGGTGTGAGGAAGATTCCTCTCTGGAAGGTACTGAACCCACCCCTCCTATTGTGCTCCTGTTTGGGTCACGTGAGCCCATCCCAGCCCATCCGGTCGGAGCCAGGGGAAAGGAATGTGTCTGTGAGTGACAGGGTTAGAAGGAACCCATCTGTAGCGCTTCCCAAAGCTTCGAAAGACTGGCCGACTGTTACGCAAGACACGCAGTAAAACACTTCTTCACGGTGTCCCTTGCAAATGGTGTGAGGGAAAGGCTCTCCCACGTCAGGGCCAAAGACTGCAAAAGGCAGAAGGTGAGGGCAGGCCCCTTGCTACACCACAGGCAGAACTCAGGGCGACCTCGAAACTCAAGTTTCGTCCCCATTTACAGATTCGGGGGCCGAGGCTGGAGTGGTGACGTGGTTGGCCGGAGGCTAGTCAAAACCTGAGAGCTGAGTGGGCCAGCCACGTTGGAACAGCAGTGTTCTGAGCTGTGCCTTTTTGAGGGAGAGGAGACTTGGGGCTAAATCTCCCACGTACTTTTCTCTTTCTCATATTTGAACGTTTGCTCTGAATCAGGTGCTATTCTGATATGTGTATGTGCACGTGTGAATTCATTTAATGCTCACCACAGCCCTCCTGAGGGAGGTCCTGTTATTCTCTCCATTTACATGGGAGGACACGGAGGCCCAGAGAGGGGCAGGAACTTGCCAGCGTCACACAGCTGGAAAGCAGAAGGGCGAGACTTGCACCCTGATCTACCTGAAACTGACGTGGATGCCGTTACTGGCTTTGCTTAGCTGCCATCCCCACTTAGTGGGGGAGGAGTTAGAATTAGGGTGACCTTGGACTTCAGAGCACCTGGGGTAGGATCCCAGCCTCAGCACTTATCAGTGACGAGAGCTTAGGTGGACAGTTTCCTGAACCCCAGCTTCCTTCTCTAAAATGGGCTCATACCGCCAAGCTCATGGGGCCCTAGGGGGAAATTGAACCGCTGGTTGGTGCCTGGGGGCTGCTGTGGACTCGGGAAGTCTCCCCACCGCCCGCCCTGTCTCTCTGTCTTGCTGCCGCTGGAAGACACTGCCTTGGGCTTCCAGCCCTTTTTTTGTGTGTGACCAGAGCCACTTGTTAAAGTACAAATGCCGCGGGGAAGAGCCTGGCTTACCGGTTACATCTCCCCACCTGGCAGTTGGGAGGGACAGGAACAGAGACTGGGTTTCTCAGCCTCTGACGGAGGAGGAAGTGAGGACCACGGCGGCGGGGAAGTGCCGAGTCCGGGTGCGCAGTGAAGCACAGGAGCCCAGTCGGCCTCCTGATTCTGTATCTGATCTCACATGGGCTTGACTGGCGTGGGCAGGGGCCCTGTGAGCTGGGAGAAACCTGTCCACCCGCTCGGTTGTCCTAGGGAGTGTCCCCACAGCAGGGAGGGGTGGGACTGGGGTCTGGTTGGAACGGGGGCGTGGGGGAGAAGAGCAGGCCAGGAGCCCCAAAGTGAGGCTCAAATCTGTGTTCACCCAGAGTGTTGGGGGCAGGCTTACCCCCATCCTTTAGGGTTCTGAGGCCCCGGAGCAGCAAGGTTGGGAGACCAGTGAGGAGTTTAAACTTGGGTGGCAGAGGGGCCAGGCTGTCTGGCTCCGTGTGCTGATCTCCCCACTTGTCCATCGTTGGAGCTTGGCTGAGCGTCTTCTCTGTGCCTCCGTTCGTGCATGTCACAGGGGGATCGGACTTTTACCCACCCCACTTGAAATGTCAGTTACAGGCCTGCCTGGGGTGGGGCACGCCAGGGCTAGCTGCTATTGATGCTTTTTGTCATGATTATTAACCATTCAGTTTGGACTTTACCAGCGCTGACTCAGCGCCGCTATGGAGGGTGAAGGGTGGTAGGTGCGACTTCGTCCTGGCTGTGGCACTCCTTAATCTGGGACCTGCAGCATGTTCCTTAATCTCTCTGAGCCTCAGTTGTCTCACCTATACAATGGGGATAACTCTGCTGAGTTCCGAGGCTGTTCCCCACGGGATGTCACCCTGGACACATCTGTCTTCTGTGAAACCTCTAGGGAGGCCCACAGCAGCAACAGAGAGCTAAGTCAGGCTCCGGCTTGGCAGGAGGCACTGAGGAACAGCTCCGCCCCTTCCCTTCTGTACCTCACAGCTGCAGGAGCCCAGATGGGGCTGAGCATAGAGGCCTTCCTGGAGGAGGTGTGGCTGAAACAATTTGTCAGCCCCAGGGCTGTTCTGTCTCCTCCTCTTACCCCACAGGTCAGCTGAGAGGCCGTGGCCCCTGCTGGCACTGGCCTCTGGCACTGTCCAGATCATTGCCAAGACCAGGGCTAGGAAGGGAGAGGACGTCCGCCCTGCCCTGGCCCCCCACCCTATGGGCACTGTGGCTCATCCAGGTTCTGACTGCAGCGCCCGGATTCTGGGGCTGGGCCGGCAGCACTCGCTGCTTTGCCCTG